GGTCTACAGGGGTTCAAGGAGAAGATATCTGTTGCTTGTGCCGAGAGAGAACAACAGAATATGAGAAAAGAATCCAAGGATAAGGAGGGTCTAGAGTGTACGGAATGTTGAAGGAAGGAATAGGGTTCAAGGGTTACCTACATGGACCAATGGATGCAGGAACAAAGCTTAAGGTCAAATTCAGGACCGGGGACACAGGCCTTCGGGAACGTCGACGAAGACAAAGGACGGTAGACGACGAAGACGACGAGTTCAAATGTGATTGCGGCTTCGAATGCGAAGANCCCCCCCCCCTCCCCTCCGCGGTGCAGGTGCTCGGCAAGATGGACCCGGAGGCTCTGATTTCCCTTGTGGTCTTCACCGGGGTCGTTAGCGTGTACCGCCTCGGGCGACCTGGGGCGGCGGTGGCCGATGTGCTCCCCGGTGGGGAGACTTTGTCCGACCAGGTGATGTACGGCAGCAGCAGCAGCAGTGGAAGAAGTGGCAGCGTTGTTTGATGAATTTTGCCAGAGACAAGGCGTGCAGCACGACAGAGAGCAAGCCTTCAACTCAGCACAGCAGAGGCAGCATTGCTGTGATGAGCGGGGGAGGGGCTGGTTGCTTTATCTGTTGTCTGTTGTCTGTTGTCTGAAGGCATATAGATAGCTAGCTCTGCATTGCTCTGTTGTGTGTCGAACCTTGGCTCGGTTTTTGCGCGACAAGTTCTCGAGGCGACGTTCGATGACTTCTTGGGCAATGTTTCGTTGCTACCTGCATTTGAGGTTTCCTTGAAGTTTCAGCGTGTTGTATGTTCCAATTTGAACACGCGGTTGTTTTAGCCGTTGTCCAACTACGTCTCTCTACAGCAGTACCCTCGATGTTGTCAACTATGGTTTGACCGTAGCGCCGATTTGGCAATCACTTTCACAAGACCGTGATTCGATTCTACCCCCACCCACGCTTTTTTTGTTCTCCTTAGTTTGCCCCATTTCTTCAGAGTCCTAACCAACAAACACACTTGCGATCCGGGGGGCACGCACGCAGAATGTATTTCCGCTGCGGTCGGTGGGTGGCAGTGGTTTTTTTCGACGGGCAGCATGATGTTCCCCCCCCCCCCCGCTTGTTGCAAAGTAGAAAGGAACGATTGGCCATCGGTGATCGGTCCTGTGGGAACAATGCTCCGTCCTCTCGAGGACGCGTGGTCAATGGTCTAACCACTAAGACATGCAAAACATAAGAGTACGCCCCCCCCTCCCCCCCCTTGTTTTTTGTTCCTTCCGGGTACCCGCGTTCTGCAGGATGTGGACCGGCGGCTGTCCGAGGGAGAGAAGGATCACTTCGTGTCCGTCCGCGGCGGCCGGGAAGCGCTGTGCACGGTCAGTTTATGTCTACCTTATTTAGCTTGCAGAAAATACCTAGGCCGAGTGTTCATAGCTCGACCACAATACTCGTGCTCCACGGCGCAGAGCATGCCAAGAATCAATGAAGCGATCCAACGAGGTCGGAAAACAGCTCTTGATGAGACGGCATCAACGCGGGCAATTTGTCGGCGCTAAGGCTTGCTGCAGAGTAGTTTGGGTACTGTTTTGGTTCGTGACGCGGACCTGTTGGTCTTGGGGAGAGAAGTTTCGCAAGGGCGTGGGAGTGTGATTGCCCGCCGCACTCTCTATGCTCTCAGCCTTTTGTAGCGGCCTGCCCAGCTTCCTACCTAGTTCTTCACGGAAGCATTGCTGCAAGCGATTTCCGAAGGGGTGGGGGCCAGTTACCCAAGAAGGGGCCCAATAAGGTACTCGGGTTCCCTGTCCGCGCCGGCAGGGGTGGGGGGATGCTGGATACGTATGTGCCATGGGCAGCAGCGGCTCTTTTTTGCCTCTGGTTGTTTTCTTGTGGGCAGAACAGATGAAAACTTGTTGATCTTCCGTGGGGGCGGGCGGAGGGCATATGACGGGAGGGATGTTTGTCTGAATCCACTATGATAGCAGGGAGGTATGTAGGTCTGCAATCGGGGGAGGCAGGTCTGTCTGACTCAACTGTGCGGCCGCTGATCCCAATTAGTTGCTGATGGTGCGATCGATGGAGGCAAGAAACACGTCGGCATTGTGGGGGCGGGGGGGCGTTCTCGTGTTTTGCAACGCTTAGCGGTTAGACCATTGACCACGGGTCCTCGAGACAACGGAGCATTGTTCCCACGGGTTTTGGGGGCGGGGGGAGCAGTTTATCGTTGCTGCTGCTCCCCCCGCCACCCCGTCCGTCACGACACTCGCAGCTGAACGCTTCCAGCGTTTTGGATAACCCGCCAGAGAAACGAACCACACGAGCAGCGACTGACCAAACCAGTGTGCCCACCCCTAGTCAGTCATCCTCTCCCTCGTCGTGCACACCCTATCCTAAGTTTTTGTAGTTTTCCGTATTGTTGACATCGATGAAATAGAAAACATTCTACGCCATTTTTTTTTTTTTTTGTCAGATTCTGAAGCTCCTGCGAGGAGTGGGCAACGGCACCGGCGCCACCCGACCAGGACAACGAAGCAATCAGCAAGCAGGGCTAGGCAACGGCCCGAGCAGCGCCGGCGGTCGGGGGGGGCGGGGGGGGGCTCTCGGGCGGCGGAAGGCGTGGGGGGCGCGGCGGCGGGTGCCGGTGCCCACCCACCGGCGGCGACGTTGTCTGGGAGCGGCGGTGGAGTATGCCCTCAGGTGCGGTGGCGGCAGCGGCGTTTTTTTTTTTTTTTTTCTCCCTTCTTCATTTACCGCAATATGTTCACCTCTTTTCCCATAGGTTAAGGTTACATTCTTAATGACTTGATAGCGTTGGCGGAGCACTACATGTGTCTGTGTCTCGGTAGCTGTTTGTTTTTCTCGTCCCCCGAAGGAGGGTGCTTGTTGTGCTGGCTGGCAGTAATGCACGTGACTGTTTCTTTTTTTTAAAAGTGCATGTTAGTGTTAGTGATGTGACTAGTGCTGTGCTGTGTTTGAGAATGTGCGAAATATTATGGTGAGTTGAGTTTTCAAAGAGTGCGTATTTGTATTTGCTGAAGTGACTACTGCTGTGTTTGGAACTGGAGAAAAATCACATGACAGTTTTGTCTAGTCGATCTGTTTTTGCCCGACGAAAAGCCCCCAATTTGCAACAGGGGAAGGAAGTGTGCAGCGAAATTTGCGAAAAAGAGTGAGGAATGGAGCCTTAGGCCCGTTCGATTTTGCCCCCGTATGATAGAGCAGCACACGCCGCGGTAGCCACTCCTTCAACAAGAGATTACGAGACTCGGGTTTCTTGGTTCCTCTTTTTGAGCAAACCTGGGCCGCCCGACTTGCCTGCGGCATCTAGACCCCAGATTTGTACGACGTTCTTGTGTAACAAGGGTCTCTGTCCTGTGTCCAATCGTCAACGATATCGTGGAAGAAACTCGTTGCGACACTTTTTTTTTGTTATATTGTGGTGTTGTTTTGGGAGGAGAACCGGTTTTTTCCTGGTCCGCTCGTCCAATACCGAAAAATCAGCCGGGAAACCTCAAGTCAACTCGCGATGATGGGGTGGGTCTGTTGCTGCGCACAGCGAGAATAATGGAATCTGTGGCGATGTAGTTCAAGCCCGCAACCTGTATCCAGTCACCAAGCTGTTAGAAAGGCTTTTCCAAGAGATAACTCAGTCCGCTGGCTGACTGAGTAGTCTATTGGGTATGCCTTTGCATCAAAAGATATATAAACAGCGCCGCTGACAGTAGCCTAATGGATAAGCCTTTCTTACAAATATATACTTTCGGCTCGTATCCACCCGGCTGGTCACTGGGATTTACAAGTAGGGATCTCCGGGGCCGGAACCCTTGAAGTGCTCCCCGACTGTTGCCTTGATGCCTCCCACTCTCGCTGACACGTCAATGTTGATCCTGTCCGTGGTCACGTGTATGTAGTCTCATGGATAAGCCTTTCTAACATTAGCCAGCGCACTCACCCAAACCTGAACAAAGCCTTACGTCCAGCCTTGAGTAGCGAGCTACGGTACAAGAGCTCTTCTTGCCTCTACAACGAAAAAAAAAAATAGGCTAGCTACTGTTGCTCGAACGGAACCCCGACAATCCAGCTAACTCTTTTTCATACCCTCCGACTAAACAGCCTAGCTCGGGCGGTACTCAAACAAACCAGCTAAAACTGTTATTTAGACACTGCGACAAAAAATAGTCTAGCTCGAAGGGTACCCTAACTAACCAGCTAACCTTTTTTTTATTTTTTTTAATTTGCACTCCGACCAACCGAAACAGGCTAGCTCGAACGGCGGGCCGGCCGACGGCCCGCCTCCTGGTGTGCCTGGGGGGTTGTCCCAACTTCGGACCCGGAGCCGTGGCTCCCTGCGTCCCCGGGGCGGCGGCGGCCGAGCTTGAACCGGAGGCGCTGGCCGCGGCGACGGACTACTTCGAAGACCTAGGGGAGAAAGCTCTTTTGCAGGTGTGTGTGTGTGTGTGTGTGTCATTTGTTTTGGAATTGTAATAGTCCGTTGTAAATGTTTGTGGAAGAATTAATTAATCCATTGCGAATGTTCGTTTCTAGTGATTCCATTGTGAATGTTTCGTTGAAGGGTTTATTGGGATGCCTGCTTGAAGAATCCATGGTCAAGGTTTTGTTTTGACAAATCCGTTTGGGAATATTTTTTGAAAGAATGAATGTGAATGTTGGTGTTGCCCAGGCAGTAGTCATCGTTTTGATATCATTCCAGAGCATTGGTGCTGGGCAGCTTTCTGAATCCATTGTGAATATGGCGCTACTGCCCAGACGGTCACAGCGTGGGGGGGACGCGATTGAGATTCGGTCGGCGTCCCGGTTGGATACATTCTCGCGATTATAAACTATGGCACGTACCGCGGATTGACGGTAGGAATCTATTTTAAGTCCACGGAATTGATGAATTGTTGGGACTATACGCGCGCGCGCAACAATACACCCAGCAGTCGGGCGCACTCGATGCTTGAACACTCAAAAACACGCACGACCATACACGACTTTCGCTTTCCGAGCGCGAAGAAAACGAGGGAGAATAGAAATGTTTTATGCAAGATGTTCTTCGATTTTTCTGAAGAACATGCTGGCGTCGTCGCTTCCGTTGTGTTTGTCGGGAGCTGTGTGCCAGACCTCCTTGCTCTGTTTCTCTTGTCATATTCTTTTCCGCCTCACGTTTTTTGTTGTTGTTGCTCTCCCCGATTTTATGTTTCTCGCTCTCTGTGTCACTCTACCTCCCCTCTCCACCGTCCTCTCGCGGACGTGGTCAGTACCACTCTCCAACAGCGAAGGCCGGCGTTCAAAACATGACTCCTCCACCCTCCTTCCGTGCTTCTGTCGCACTTCGTGCCACTTGCACTCCCCTCTCTTCATTTGTATCACCGTTGACGATCGTGACTCCCTCGTGACTCTCCGTCCTTGTGGTCGATACGATCCAACAGCGAGAGCAGGCGTGCTAAAGATGACTCGCCCACCCGCGCCTCCCTTCTCTTGGCGCGAAACAGGGAACCGGCGTGGACGTGTTTTGCGCCAGCAGCGAGGGGCTTGGGGCGGCGGCGCTGCAGGGCCTTGTCGCCCCGACCTCCGGCTACGTGGTGATCCAGCCGTCCTTCGGCCTCGAGTTCGCCGGCAACCTGGCCAAAAGCATCTCTGAGCAGGCCATGAGCGACGGGGATGGCTTGCACGGTGTGTGTTCAAGAGAGAGATGGGGAGAAATGGATTTCGGCGTATGTAGAAACGTTTGGATAGAGGGGGGGGG